TTCTTCTCATTCCTCGTATTGTCTTTTGGGGATAGCGTCGATTCAGAGTGTACGAAGGGACAGCCCTGGTAAAAAGGCCAGCCTTTGAAGGCGTCAATGAAGACCACACCTTAGAAGAACAGAAAGCAAGAGTCTCATAGCATCCCTTTCTCCCCAAATCATATGAGAGTTTCTTTGTTGGGTCCGATCAATGGTCCTCAGTTGGGAGGTCTGTGCCGATTTGTACATGTGGCACCACAAGTGTGGCACATTCCCTTTCCCCATCTCTCTGGCCACTGACCCATTCAGCAGTCAAAGCTGTTCAACCACTCCTTGGCAGGAGCACAGGGTTTGCCTGTCCTGCTTCCTTGTCTGAGTGGGCGATCAGCCCACTTTCTCTGTTTCGGAAACACAGTTTGTTCACAGCAATCAAGTTTGTTTGCCTGTAGGTTGGCAACAACACCCATTGTTTGCACACGGACTGGGGGCAGAAAGGTCACAGTGAGTGACGGCACCCGATCTGTCTAGAATAGTGTTGAACTCCTCACTGCCTCTTCTGTGACCTGTAGGCCTGTAGCACCTCGCTCCAAGTGTCCTCTCACACCACGCGCATGTGCTGCCTTGTGCCAAGATTACAGAGGAGGAAGATTTGTTTGCAAGAAGTTTTGGACTGCATTTAATCCTTATTGCTGGCTGTTACGGTCAGCCATAGCATTACCTGTCCTTCACAGCTGGGAGGGAAAATCTCAGCCAATGAGAAGGCGGTGGGTGGTGCAGAGGCGGGAGGAGCTGTGCTATATAAGGTGTGTGTGAGGTGTGAGTGGGCAGATAGATCAGAGATTGGAGATAGTGTCGAGTCAGTGAGAGAGAGTGTCTGTGAGAGCTAGTGCCTGAGAAACAGTTATTGAAACAGTGATTGATTGATTATTCCTCTAACAAGTGATTTACCATTCCTTTCTTTTTGTATTCAATAAACCAAGTGGCTCCTGTTCTCCAGACAAAATTGCTTAGTTACATTTCTGACCTTGAAACCTTAAGTAGAAGTTTCCTGGAATGTCTCTGCTTGCCAGCATACCTCCAGAGGTTAAGTGTTTGAGCCTCTCTTCTACCTTTAGAAGTACAATTCCTTGCCAAATTGGTTGGTTGGTGTGTGCCTTAAAATTGAAACCCCACTGATAGGACTTTGAGGATAAGTGAGGTATTTAAAGAATGGTTTTACCAGTTCTGTTCCCCCAGTGAGTTTCCATGGCTGAGCAAGGATTTGAACCCTGGTCCCCAGAGTCCTCTTCTGTCCCTTTATCCACTACATTACACTGGGCTTCTTTGCCAGATGGAGGGTCCAAATTCACATTCCCACTCAGCTGTGCAACTTGCTGGATAATCTTGAGGCAGTTATCGTCTCTCCACCTAATTTACCTTACATCGTTGTTGTTGTTGTTGTTGAGTGGCCTCCGACATATGGCGACCCTATAAGTCAGTGATCTATAAAATCTTCTGTCCTCAACCGCCGTGATCAGCTTTTGTAAACTGAATTCTGTCAGTCCATCTCATATTTGGTCTTCCTCTTTTCCTGCTGCCTTCCAATTTTCCCAGCATTATTGTCTTTTCCAGAGAATCCTGTCTTCTCATGATGTGCCCAAAGTAGGATAGCCTCAGACTCGACGTTTTTGCCTGTAGAGAAACTTTCAGCTTGATTTGCTCTAGGACT